TGCTTGGTTAATATTAGAGTGTCTGTTAAAAAAATCATGGTCTTTGTAAGATAAACTAATTCTAAGTAGAAGCAAATCTAGAAAATACATCATCTCTTGATAATGTGTTGGAATTGCTTGCTTGTTAAAATTTTCATGTGTAAGTACAATTTTGTGATTCACGAATTCTCAGGCCCAATCTAAAACATACTTGGAGAGCTTCTGTCTGTCTCCTAGTTTACCTGTGCTATGAACAGATGTAACTTTTCAAGAAACCAGTGCTTACTTTAGTCTAAACCTTGATCATGTAGCCCCAGTAGTCTGTCAGTGTGAGTCAGGCTCTGTAATCTCTTCAGTGTTCTCAAAGCAATTCTTTGTGCCAGTTACCTGCTCTGTTATTTAGCAGTCTCTCTGTTCCACTGGTATTCTCCCTTTTTAGAAAACTTCCACTGTCCAGTTTGCAGCTCATCCATAGGAACTTCTCTTCCTTGTTCAGTGGTATATTAGGCAGTGGTGCTACTGCCTGGGGTAGGGATGGGCTGGGAAGAGGCAGGCTGTTCTCTGTCTGGCACAGCTCATAAGCCTAGCTGTGGGTTCCATTCTGTGGCTCAGTGTGACTTTTTTCAATGGAATGCGTTTCTTTTTTCCATAAAGCTCTGTTCCTTCCATGTTCTTCCCACATCAGCTGGCAGCAACCAGTTGGTTCTGAAATCTGCCCACAAATTGTTAGCTATTTTGTTTCTTGGCCCCCCGACTTGCCCCTGGAATATGAATTGATGTGTTTCAGGGCCTGTATTATATTGCTTCATGAAGCAAATCTAGTTCTTGCTAAAGCATGCTTAAACTTGATTCCAGAAAAAACAGAATAGCAGGAGTACCTGTAATTAATGAATGCAGTAGTTCTCCCCATCACTACCCGCCAGTCCACAGGGAATGTGTTCCAAGAATCCCGGTGGATGCCTGGAACTGGATAGCACCAACTCTGTGCACAGTCGATTTTCCTGCACATCATACCTTTGAAAAAATTTGAAATAGGAATCATTGGAGAAGAGAATATTGTACTGCCTGTTCACCGTATCCCAAGCGTTGTTCTATGCAGGCTACATGCATTAGCTTAGTTGATTCCCAATAGTCCTTTATACTAGGTTCTGTTTTTGCCTGCATTTTGTAAATAAAGAGCCACAGAAAAATTCAGTAACTGGTTCAAAGTTACACACTAAGTGATAGTTGGAAGATTTTGAGACCAAGCAACTTCACTCCAGAGCCCTTGCTTTGGCAGTGTTCTTTTCCTTTTCCTTTCCTTTCCTTTCCTTTCCTTTCCTTTCCTTTCCTTTCCTTTCCTTTCCTTTCCTTTCCTTTCCTTTCCTTTCCTTTCCTTTCCAGTCCTGTCCTGTCCTGTCCTGTCCTGTCCTGTCCTGTCCTCCTTCCTTCCTTCCTTCTTTCCTTCCTTCCTTTCAGATTTATTTTTGTTTTTTATTGGAAAGTTAGATATACAGAGAGGAGGAAAGAAGAGAGAAAGAAAGATCTTCCATCCGATGATTTACTCCCTAGGTGACTGCAACAGCCAGTGCTGTGCCAATCTGAAGCCAGGAGCCCGGATGCTTTTCTAGGTCTTCCACGGGGGTGCAAAGTCCCAAGGCTTTGGGCCGTCCTCAACTGCTTTTCCAGGCCACAAGCAGGGAGCTGAATGGGAAGCAGGGCTGCTGGGATTAAAACCAGCACCCATATGGGTTCCTGACGCTATCAAGGCGAGGACTTTAGCCACTGGGCTACGGTGCTGGGCCCTGGTGATGTCTTTTAGTTGCTTTATACAACTGCTCCTTTGAGTGTCTTTTGGTATCTGAAGAATCACTGACAGATAGATAGAAAATAGATTTTTATTTTTGAAGGAGAGAGAAGCGATTGATTGATTGGTTGGATGAGGGGAATAAACGGCAAGTATCCTACCTACCTACAGCTTCATTCCCCAAGTACTTGCAAAGGCTGAAATCAGGACCACACCAGAAGCTTAGAACTCTGTCTAGGTCTCCCATGTTGTTGCAGGGACCCCTACCACTTGAGCCATCACCTGCTGCCTCCTAGAGTGTGTAGTAGCAGGAACCTCATAGAGTCTGGAGCACAGGACCTGAAACCAGGGACTCTAATATGGAATGTGGCATCTGCATCACTAGGTTAAATGCCTCGCTTGATGTTAATCTATTCCAATTCTGTATCACCTTGTATGAAGAAGTTAATTCTTAATGCAATTTTCTCTGAAAAGATAAGAATTGGTATGTGGGATCACATTTTGTTTATGTGAAATCAGATATGCATACTGTAAAATCAATAGTGTACCTTTGTATCTTTATTAAATTTAATAGACTTATTAGTTACATGGTATATAGTATAAGATCTTAGTAACCGACTTGGTTCTCATAGATGGTTGGTTTAACTTTCTTTTTACTGTTGTCAAATGTTGATTGCTTTAGAGTACATGTGAGAGTGAGAGTGCGTCAGTGGCAATCAGGGATTCTCCCAGTTAAAGTATGGACATATTCTTGTCTTAGGGGTGAAAAGATGCAAATTTAAAAATTAATTGGTCAGTTGTATGAAGTCTGCTTTCCTATACCCTGAACTGTGTATAAACCATCAATTACTAGAGCATGGGTGAGGGGAAAGGATGTTGGGCACAATCCTTAGTTTTTGCTCTCTGTCCCCTTGTGCCCCTTCCTCCCCTGCCCCACCTCTGCCTTCAGTATTAGACGGGGCTTTCCAAATTTTCCACCAGCATGACATAGTTCCTTTGTTCTAAACAAATGAAGCTTCTTGAGACAGGAGATGAGCTCTATCAGTCATAGCCCATTTCCAGCACACCTGTTTGAAAGTTCCACTTTGGTCATATGTCTCCAAGTGTTCAAAGCTTGTTGTGGATATGAACGCATTCTGTACACTGCATACATTTCTATGTAAGATGTTAATAATAATAAATAAGATTCATGTATCCTTCTGTAAAGAAACATCGTGCACCACAACTGTTTTGTGTTGTTTTGTGAGCTGTCCCTCGAGAAGAGCAGATGCCCGACCAGTAGAAAGATTTGAAGTCCTACATGTGATCTGGCACCGGAATGACGAGAAATGGAATTGGTAGTGTGGTCAGTGGTCATGTGGTTCAAAAGTTAGGAAAAAGAAATAAGCAGTTGATTTCTTAGCGATTTCACTGGTACCCCTCACTAAATTCTCAATCCTCTTTTCTGCCTATCCGCAATTTTTTTAAGTTGTTGAATTGTGCTTTCTTTGCAGGGTCTTTCCTTATGTCTGTGTCTTTTCTTCTGGGAGAAGGTTGGACTTCAGCCTCTGTACTTTGATGGATTACACATCTGGAACTGTGTTGTTATCTGTTCTATGCATCTCGTTCCCCTACTGGATTATAAACTCTGAAATTAAGACTGTGCCTGATTAATCTTTGTTGTTCTGGATATACCTACATCATTTCATCTCTGTTATTAGGCATGGCCTACTCTTCGTCTCATCTCTCTATTGTTAGGCAGGGCTAAACACTTTTTGAATGGAGCGGAATTTATTTTCATGTGCCTTTCTCTCATTACCCCTCACCTGAAACAGCTCAAAGTTCTTTAAAATTTATTTATGCTTTTTCATTTAAAAAAAATTTGAGAGGCTAAGAGACAGAGATCTTTGAGCCTTGACTGGTCCTTCTCCCAAAACGCCCATGATAGCCAGGGGCAGGCCAGGCCAAAGCCAGGAGCCTGTTATCCAGATTTCCCTTAGGTGACAGGAGCCCAAGTGCTGAGCTGTCATCTGCTGCCTCCAGCAGAGGGGCTGGGACTCACAAAAAGTCCTGCATAAGATGTGGCCATCCCACATGGTAACATCAAATGTTACCATCAAATGCTTGCCCCTTAATAAAGTTAATGGATAGTAATTATTCATACATTTGAATCACCTAACTTGTGTGATTCAGTGTAATCTTTCTCTAAATAAACATATTCAGCATTAAAAATTTCTCCCCAGTTTTTCTTTTTCCTCAGTAAGTTTTCTTTTCTTCTATGAGTGGAGTCTTAGAACTTTAGCAGTCAAAGATGACAAAAGTTTCCTTCATCTAACCAATGTCAGTTGTACACTGATTAAAAAGATGAAACTGAATTTTAGAGGTACTTTGAGATAAAACAAATGTTTTGAACATTTCACTGAGAATGGTTAGGCAGTTTAGATTTCATAGACTAACTGCTTTCTTTTTTGTGTTTTAAAATATATGTGTTACTGGGTATCTTCATGTGGGCAAAATGGAAGGCTGTGTTTTATGCTTCAGCAGTGTACGTTTGTTAACATCACTATTAAGAATTTGACTGCAAAGCTAGACTACTTGGATCTTTCAATGTTGGATCTGTCACATGTGTCCCTCTGTTTTTATATATAAAACAAGGTTGGTGTAGTAATAAGGCGGGTGTTGCGAGGTTCAAATGAGTTAGTGCCCACAAAGCATTATTATTATACTTGCCACATAATAAGCATGTACTATATAGTAGCTGCCACTGCTGCTGCTTCACCAATTGTTTACTGAGCTCTTCAAGCATGTCGTGAGATGTGGGAGACCTCATTGAAAGTTCTAGTAGAGGCTTACTAAAAATCATGTGCTTAGGGTATAAGCTTCATGTTTATGAAAGTTCCTGTACTCATTCTCTGCATTGGAGCATGATTTGACCCAGACAGTAACCACATCTAGGGAATAATGAAGTGTTTTGTCATGCAGGGTTTTACTATATAAGCAATTTAAGAAATGGCAAAAAGAAAAGAAGTGGTAGAGACCCATTAGCTATGGAAGTCTTTTCCTCGAAGATGGGTAACTTGCTTTGAGTCCATTTTTTAGCTATTTAAGAGAGTAAATTTGTTTTCTTCATTGATGTTTTATAAATAAAATGCTGGCAGCTTGTATTTTGTAGAATATGCTTTCAAGCGATTTTAATTTTCCTCCTTAAATTTCTATTAGTAATGCATTAGAGTAAATTTTCTTCTTCTTTTGTCAGGTCGCTATCAAGATCATAGATAAAACCCAACTGGATGAAGAAAACTTGAAGAAGATTTTTCGGGAAGTTCAAATTATGAAGATGCTTTGCCACCCCCATATCATCAGGCTATACCAGGTAGGGTTACTAGCTGTGTGGTAATTGGCTAAAAGGGACTCAGAATGGTCTGCTGTGTCTCTGGCTGCTGTGGAAGAAAATGAGGATGGATGAACAATGCAACTTTTTGTGTGTTTGTTTGTGTGTGTATATTTTGGTCCACATTTCTTCCTCACCCTTCTATATTCATGCTTAGTACCTGGTAGTGTTTTCATGTTTTCCCTGGCTATTTCCTAGTGAGGTCTGCCATACCAAGTTAGAGCTTAAATTTGATGCTTCTGATAGCAAGAATTTCACAGAAAAATTATTCAGAAGATGGTGAAATTTATTTAGGTCAGATTCTTAATCAGGATTGAAACCCAAAGAACAAGAGACTATTGCGAGACAAAAAGCTCAAGATGAATATAATGTTATTTACATTAAATATGTATTTATATTAATTTCTGTAATAACATTATGAATTACAATATTTTAATTCTAATATTTTAAGTATAACTTCTTAGTTAAAACTACTTTTTTAGTCTTGTAGAGCCCTTGTCTTTTCCAAGGTAGCATTTAATTATTTTGATCATCAACAGATGAATTCTACACTATTGTAGAGATTTCGATTTTAACTTTCTTACCATCGCTAGATACTTGTATATTTCATGTCGTCACAAAATGATTCCCTAGTTTACTACAGAAGCAATAAATCTAAGGACTGAAATTTCAAGCCAGATAGCAGGGATGGGGACCTTGCTTTAGCAAGCTAGTAGGAGAAATCTTTTGGGAGAGATTAGGGCTGTGTGCCTCTCAAATTGCAGTGCATTGGCAGCAGGGAGTTCTGCTCCTGTCCAGGGCCCACTCTGCTCACTGCTTTCTACTAGAACAGCCATATCCTCCTCATGAAGGAAGTGGCCACCCACTCTGCATTTACTGTTACTAGTTTGGAGTAAATTGTTTCTGGTCCAGACATGGGACCATGTGTAGGAGTAGAGAAAGCATACTCAAAGTACAGTGGGCAAGCTCCCGTAGCCTTTTACTTTTACAGCAGGAGGGGAAACATGTTGGGGTTTTAGGATGTGTGGTTAAAGCTACAGCTTTAGCATCTTCTCTGGCATCTGCTGCTCACATTAATGAAGTGAATTAAGTCAGCAAGAGCAGATCTGTGAAATTTCTCAAACTGAAAGTTGAAAATACCTACCCCAGGAACAAGTTTCTGAAGGCTTCCTGGTGTTGCCTGAAGGCCTGTATCTGTCCCTTGGCTTCTTTCTTAGCTTGGTAGACTGCATGAGCTTGATATCCTCTTTTATAGTAAGTCATGTGTGGAGGGGCTGAGGCTTACTAATCTGAAGGGATAAATTTATAGATATGAATGTTACAACTGAATTCCACAAATTTACCTTTGTTACTCAGGGCTTTGTTAATCTATAAGAATCTTTGTCTTTCTAGCCCTGGCTTTTTTTACGCTTGAATTTTGCTTTCTCGCAACTAGTATTATAAATGAGATATTCTAAACTGCCCAGAGTGATTAGCTGGTGAATTGTATGGTATCAGGGTAGTTTTCAGGTCAGTCTGCTCAAATGTATAATATGAACAAATACAGATAACTGTATAGAAAAGAGCACTTTTGGAGCTCCTAAAAAGTTTTAATAACAAAAAGAACATTAATAATTAACAAAAGCTTTGGAGTACAAAGGATGACATATTTTTTCTTTTCTAAACCCTTGCATATATGATTTTTTTGTTGTTGTTTTGGTCAGATAAGGCAATATATGAAGGGAGCTTGAGGCCAATATAAGTAACAAACAGTGGACTAGTGTCATCAGTATAGAGAGTGTTCTTAAAAGAAAAAAGGAACAGAAAAGCGAAACTACTGAATCGAAAACTTAATGTGCACTCAAATAGTGAAATACTGTGAAGCCACTGAAAAGTAGAGCTGTATTTTAATATTGCAGTTTAATTTTGCACATAATACTACTCTGTGATATTAATACATGATTAATGTATAAAGGAAAGTAGCGGGAGGATGGCATCATAAATGCTAACATATATTTAATTTGAATTAATGTAAACACTGTTGAAATAATAGTATTTTGGATATTGGGGGTAAATAAAATTTATCATTAAGATAATTTTTTGTTTGAGGGAAATTTTGTTATGTGGCTGCTGAAATATTTGAAATGGTATATTCAGCTCACATATTTTTTGGACATCCCTGCTCTAGAAAAATATATAATAGGTTGTTGACAGTTTTTCCCTGGTGAGTGAAATGGAGAAAGCTAGAGGAAAAGCTTTTCTCTTTTGTTTTTATACTAGGTATTTGAGATAATCATAATGTATATGCATTTATATTATTTTAATTTAAAATTATTTATTTGGGAAGTAGAGAGTGAGAAAAGGCTAGAGACAGAGAAAGAGAGGGAGCGAGCGAGCGAGAGAACGAGCGTTGAGTACACTCCCGACTGTAGTTCATTTCCCTAATGCTCACCAGCAGCCAAGGCTAGGCTGGAGCTGGAGTTGGGAATCCATGTGGGTGGCAGGACCCTAATTACTTGACCCATCACTGCTTTCTCCCATCTAGATTAACAGGAAACTAGAATCAGGTACCAAGACAAAATCTAAGTGACTAATTAAAATTGTGGTTCCTCCTTGTTTGAATAAAATGGTAATGAGTTGGAAAGTTGTTACTTGCATTAAAAAAAAAAGCTTTCTGTGATTTCTGTGCCTTTCTTAAGTGATTCCCATTAGTTTCCCTAAGGCTTTTTGTTTGTTTTCCTTGGGTATTTTGGGGGGTATTTTTGAACTGCAAGTGATTGATGTTGAATGTGAGCTTTTTCTGGTTGTTGGCAGCTCCTTTGCTTCTCAGCTTAACAGATTGCAGAGACCGACAACAAAAGAGGACTGTGCCCTTCAGTTTGGAAATGTTCTGTACTTCAGAACTTGGGGAATATGTATTCTCCCTTTTTTTCTTAACATGTATTTCTGTTCCCCCTAAAATATTTTAAATTTCCTTTGAGCAGTAGTGATTATTAATATTTCAATGACAAAGAGAGGAGTTATTCGTTTCTCTTCCTATGATATCAGCCTGTCATTTGTGTCACTGTCTGTCAATTTCCTGCCTTTGCACCAGGTTATGGAGACAGAACGGATGATTTATCTGGTGACAGAATATGCTAGTGGAGGGGAAATATTTGGTAAGTACATTTATTGCATTCTTTAAACAGCTATTGAGCACAGTATGGCACACCTAAAATAGCTGTTCTGTGCCTTTGTCACTTGAACAGCTGTCACTTGATGCTGCCCTTCAGTACTGTCATTTTCCACTTGACAGAGTAATTTTTGATTCACCTAATAAAATCCCTCTAACATCTTTATTTCCTTAGCCAAGGTATTTCGTTTGTTTCAGTTGAGGATTGAGGTGAAGATTCCCCAAAACACAAATATTCGTTATGCACTTGTGGCTAGAATTCTTTCCCATTGCTGAGTTTTAACTGAGGTTACCCAGTAGGGCAGAATTCCCCCAAGTGTGTGGGCCTCTTCTGTGAGAGAAAGCACCATCACCGTAGTGCTTTCCTTACACTTTGTTTAAATATGACTTGTAACTGTGTCCCTTACTGTGTGTTCCTATTTGCATTCCATGATTTTTGTAACTTTCAGATTTTGCCTTTAGTAGCTACTTTTTTTCTCTCTTAAGACTTAACTTACCTTAATCAGTAGAATTTGTTGCTAGCAAATCTGACTTTTTCAAGTAATAAAACCTGGTGGTATTGTTTGTTTTCTTTTGGTAATAATGATAAATGGGGCCAAGCAGAGGTAAAGGATGAACTTTTAAATCTAAATTGACATGTGTCATCCCTTCTTTTTGACAACATACTAGTTTGCCAGGCTTGTTTTTTTTTTTCCTACATATTTTAGACTTACCTAATTTCTTCATTTTTTGATTGAAAAGTAAATTGGAATACTTGATAATTTAAAATGTATTTAAAGTACATAATCACTTTAAAAATAGAACTTTCAGTTGGAGATTTGTGGCAGCATGGAGATTGTATGTGTGTGTGTTAAATCATATCTTGCAAGCTAATGTTTTTTGTACCTATGTATCTTTACGAAAAGTACTAGTTGTTTTTAAGAGGTATCCTTATTAATTTTTAAATTCTTTAATTGGCTTCATGTATGCATGTCAATGCTAACACTATGGTAATGGAATGATATGGGTAATCACAACAGAGTGTTGGTGAAGATGCTCTATTTCAAAGAGATTAGACCATAGCAGGAATTAAAGAGCAGCATGGTCTGCCAAGAGGATATAATAGGCTTTTAATATGTATAATTATATGCCAGTCTAGTACTTTGGAAATGCTGACTCTTTTAAGATGTTCGTTTTACCTTTCACAAAGAAATCTGGTAGAAAACAGACATGGGAATCAATATTGATTACATCACAAAAGCTGAAACTGTGGAATTCTGTATAGGTGAGAACTGTAGCGCAAGTGGAGATCATGAAAGTCTTTCCCCGTGGTTATATGCAAGTCCATAAACCAGGAAATAGAAGTCGGATAAGAAGCATTTAGAGAGAGTAAAATAGCAATAATTTCAGCGGGAAGTACACTATGATCTAACAAGTACATGTTATAAAACGGCCTTCATTCAAACCACCAGTGTACGCAAAAGCAAGGAGACAACTTTGTTATCTGGATGCCTTTCATTCTGTAAATACAGCAGAACATCTCCCAAACGCTTGGGCTGCTCATTGGCTGTCTTGTCACATGGAACTTTGTGGAGAAGCCATGGGAATCTTGGGAGAAAAGAGACCGCGTCATTTTAATGTTCCTAATGACCTAAGAATGAAATGTAGTACACGTTACATATGCCTTGCTGTTTGAGAAAGCAGATTTTTAAAATAGAGACAGGACGGTTCTCTGGTCATAAACTCCTTGTGGTAATGTAGTTCAAGGCAAAGCAAACAGGGCTGCCCTTTTGATGACACTGACTTAAACATACAAGTGTTTTGGGCTAGCATTGTGCCACAAGGTTAAGTCACTGAGATGCTCACATCCCATAGAGGGCCTCATCACGTCCCACTGTTTCTGATCCAGCTTTCTGTTAATGAGTCTGGAAAAGAAGCAAAACATGGCCTAAGCACTTAAGTCCCTGTACCCACATGGGACACCTGACAGAGTGTCTGTCTCCTGGCCATCTCTGGCCATGGCAGCCATTTGGGTTATGAGTGAGCAGATGAAAGATGTGTCTCTCTGTGTCTCTTCCTAGGTCTCTGTAATTGTACCTTTTAGATAAATAAATGACATATTTTAAAAATATATGTCATGGGCCCAGCATAGTAGCCTAGTGGCTAAAGTCCTTGCCTTGAATGCATCGGGATCCCGTATGGGTGCTGGTTCTGATTCCAGCAGCCCTGCTTCCCATCCAGGTCCCCGCTTGTGGCCTGGGAATGCAGTTGAGGACGGCCCAAAGCTTTGGGACGCTATACCCACAAGGGAGACCTGTAAGAGACTCCAGGTTCCTAGCTTCGGATTGGCTCAGCTCTGGCCATTGCTGGCACTTGGGGAGTTTATCAGTGGACAGAAGATCTTCCTCTCTATCTCTCCTCCTCTCTATGTATGTTATTTTTTAGTAAAAATAATATTTTTTAAAAAGTGCAAAAAATTGTTATACTGACACCATTATAAAATATTTAAGTACATTATTATTGTTATAAAAGAGTTACATAAAAAATAGTATATTTCCAGGCCCAGCGTGGTGGCTTAGTGCCTAAAGTCCCCACCTTAAACACGCTGGGATCCCATATGGGCACCAGTTTGTGTCCCAGCAGCCCCGCTTCCCATCCAGCTCCCTGCTTGTGGCCTGGGAAGGCAGTCGAAGACGGCCCAAAACCTTGGGACCCTGCACCCACATGGGAGACCCAGAAGAAGTGCCAGGCTCCTGGTTCAACTCAGCTCAGCTCCGGCCGTCGCATCCACTTGGGGAATGAACTGCAGACGGAAAATCATCCTCTCTGTCTCTCCTGTTCTTTGTTTATCTACTTTCCAATAAAAATAAAATATCTTTAAAAAATAGTATATTTCCTAAGAAATGATTGAGACTATACAAGATAAAATTTCTCATGAAGTCTCATTAAAAAAAATCTCTGTACAATGTGAGACGAGAGGTTCAGTCTAGAACATGAGTTTTGAAGGTGGTTAGATCTGTGTTTGAATCGCATCTTTGCCATCTAGGTGCTGTTTTACCTGCAAGAAGTTTACGAAATCATTCTGTGACTCAGTTTTGATGTTTGTGAAAGATAGGCTCTATACTATTTGCCTCATCATGGAGATGGTGAAATAGCAGGATGCATAGCCTCAGGAGTAATAGATTGACTTTTGACTTGGTTGTGTGAGGCTTTGCTAACCTGATGCCTGGTTTAACTGGTGAAAACCAAGTGCAATAAATAGTCATTGAAAGTCTCTGGAAATGGTTCTTGAAGCAAGCAGCAAATGAAGCATTACTCAAGAATGTCTGTGGAATTCAGCAAGAGTGCTGAGTGTTTCAGTCAATGGTACTCCCACCTTTCTCTGTTTCCGTGAGGTGGAAATTTCAGTGCAGACTGCTTCAACCAAGAACACAGGGCCTCCCCTTCCCCCACCCAGCACTGGGCAGACAGCTTTCTTTCCTGGAAGAGCAGTAAATCAGCATTGATCCTTCTGTCCCCAGCTACTGGTTATGGAGGCTAAATCCTGAGAGGAAGCAGTTGAGAAGCAGTTGTTCCCTTCTTCAGTGCATTCCTCACCTGAGGGGCTGCAGTGTGTTAGGTTACTGGGATCAGATGACTCTTATCTGGGGTAATAGCACAGTAGTGATGCCCTGCCAAGAGACGCAACCCAAGAGGCCCTCCAAGCTGCTGTCCTCTCTCTTCCATCTCACTCAGAGAGAAAGTTGCTGCTGTCTTCCTTCCCAGCTCCCGAGGCCTGACTCAGTGATTTTACCTGGGGAGAAAAAAGAGACCATGAAACCTGTTACTTCTAATTCATAACACAGGCCCAAATCTGATTATTCATAGGAAGAACTAGGGAATAAGACATTTGGTCTCCCATCCAAATACTAACCAGGCCTGACCCTGCTTAGCTTCGGAGATCTGATGAGATCGGGCGCGTTCAGGGTGGTATGGTCGTAGACGGAATAAGAGGTTCGGAAAGAGCTTTCCTGGGGTCAAAATAAAGTAAAATGTTCATTTAAGTAACTATTTCCTCAAAAGAGCCAGAGTTTCGGTATATTGTTTATAAACCAATTTGCATTCAGGTTATTGTTCCAAACATTAGAGAAATCAGCCAACTGTTAGTGGAGTTAAATAAAATAATTGGTTGTGGTCAGAACAAGAGAGGAAACGAGTCTTAACGAAACCATTAAGATCCCAGAGTAACTGTGTCTGCCAGAAGAATGACTTCAGAAGTTGAACACTGTGTGTGTGGAGGCAATGAAGCAACGAGCTTGTCAGGAAACAAATGAATATACAAATAATAATAACAAACTTCATGTAGGAAGGTAGAGATATACCAGTACCTTAGAAGGGTTTTAATGTAGTAACTAAAAAAAAAATGCACTGTACAACAGTGCATTTCTACAACAAAAATCTATAGTGCTAGAAGAAGCAAGAAAGAATGAACTGTGCACCAAACAAAAATCAAGCATTTGAAACAGTGTCTCTGACAGACCAGAAGTCAGGTTTATCAGAAGAAAAACAAAATAACAGAGTTCACCTTTAAAATAATGAAAGAACATAAGATTGCTTAGAGAATATCAGTAAAGAGAAGTTAATAAAAGGAACAAAGCAAAAATTTAAAACTTATAAAACTTAAGCAAGGAATGACTTCCTTACTGGCTGTCTTTAAGAAAAAGTTTCTACATTAATAACCTTAGAAGATTGAGTAATGTATTTCTCCAAAGCTTAAAAATAGGTTTGTTTGGGCCCGGCGCAGTGGCGCAAGTGGTTAAGGTCCTCGCCTTGCACGCCCGGGATCCCATATGGGTGCCGGTTCTATCCCGGTAGCCCCGCTTTCCATCCAGCTCCCTGCCTGTGGCCTGGGAAAGCAGTCGAGGATGGCCCAAAGCTTTGGGACCCTTGCACCCGTGTGGGAGATCCGGAGGAGGCTCCTGGCTTCGGATTGGCATGGCATTGGCCGTTGCACTCACTTGAGGAGTG